TTTTAAACTATTTTGATTTAATTAGAATTAGGAAAAAAATCGCTTTTTGCTCGACTTATTCCAATTTAACACTATCGATAAGTTCTAAGAACACATTTTTCTTAGCTTGTAAAACTACACTCAAAGAATTACTACGCCGGTTAGCAAATATCATCTCTTTTATTTGTCATTTCTAAATTCAGACTAATACCACATTCAAATTGAGCACAGTTACAATTACACCAAAACAACAACAAGAGGTTTTCTCAAACGGACATTGGCATTTGCTTTTTTTACCGAGCTGGCAAGCTGACTGATTAATTGGCCACTCTCTCAGGAAAGGGCGCACTATTGTCCGTCTTTTTAACATTTGTTACAAGCTCTTATTTTTATATCTGCGATATCGGAGGCGAGTAATTTAAGGCGATTTCTATTTGTGGGATTTCTCTGAAATTTGTGACCTCAATATGGAATTCTGTAAGGCAAAAATACAAGCACAACTATTAATTACTGAAATCATTCTTAACTCCACTCAAAAATTCGCACCACAGAGGAAGGCTAGTTCTAATTTTGTTCAAGGGATAACAAAAAGCATTTTAACAAGGAAAAGTAATAAAATAATAACCAAGCGCCAGCAGCAATATTGTCGTCTTACGCAAAACTATGCGTTTAATGTCATAAAAAGAGAGCAATTAAATGTTTTAATGGGTAACTCATATAATTGTACCTAACTTTTGTGCTCATGAATTTGTGACGCATTTTTTTCCTTTTCAAACGACAGTATACTTAGTAACATATAATGAATGTACAACAGGGATGACCGAAAATACATTTCAGAATTTCAAAACCTACTTGTGCGGAAGAGATGCTCTGTGGGAACAGATGAAGGGGGAAATAAAATAGGAAATTGATTTTTATGTTAAGTACTAAAACAAGATGAATGAAATTTAGATATTTGAGCTTTATTATAGCAAAAAGACAACAATATTTTGTTAAGGAAAAACTGGCTTTTTTGTACTTTGTAAGATTTATTACAATAAGTGGACACTTACTACATAGTTCTGAAACACACACACACACACACACACACACACACACACACACACACACACACACACACACACACACACACACACACACACACACACACACACACACACACACACACACACACACACACACACACACACACACACACACACACACACACACACACACACACACACACACACACACACACACACACACACACACACACACACACACACACACACACACACACACACACACACACACACACACACACACACACACACACACACACACACACACACACACACACACACACACACACACACACACACACACAACACACACACACACACACACACACAACAACACACACACATTTATCATTTCAGCATTAAATAAAAAAAACAACAACAGTTAAAAAATTATAATACACGATAAAGCGGAAGACCTAAAAAAGTTTAAAACTGACTGATTGGATGGTGAGAGGGGAGAGAACTGGGGCTATAAATTGTCGCCATGTATTTAAATTCAGACTCTTTCTAATCAGTACTCCTTTAGCATTTTTGAAGATCTATATATATTGAAGAAAAATAATTTTAATTTATGTCTAAAATCCTCTAACCAAAATTAAGGTTTTCACATATTTTTTTAGAATTCAGCCTCTTTGTGGCAATATTACATTTTGAAATGATTTCTTAAAATTATTTTTCTTCTATAATTTTCATGTTATGTGTAATGTTTTCCATATAACTAGGTTGCAATTATTAACCAATTTTTTTTAGCCGTCCTTCCGGTATAGTGGTTAGCGACACTGACTGCTGTGCCTAGGCCCGAATCTCGGAAAAGGTATGGAAGTTTGTAAATGAATAGTTTCTTCGCTGAATGGGGGTACTTTAAATAACAATCGATCCGTAACTCCTCTCGTGAGGTTGATCGAAGGTGAAGAGAAGTGGGAGGCCTTCAACCACACCCAAGGTGTTCTCCTTCCAATTTGGAGTGGAACCGATACAAAATGTGCTGTCACCTGCTTGGTGCTCGAAGCTACTGCTAATGACAGGGGTACAACCTAGCCCTTTGCTATGTTGATTTTTATAGGCCTTAACAACTGCATTATGGGCATTAACAACAGCAAAAATAATATTTTTTTCTTTCCATATAACCGTGATTCACTCTAGAGAACAATCTTTAAGAAATGCTATGAGCGTGATTTTTTACACGACTTTTCTTACATTTAGCCTTCGAAAACGTGTCTGTCATGTAAAACAGAATTAGGTGCATAACTATTATGTAAAGAAATCTAAGGCTAAATAGATTTTTAAAATTCTTTCTCATCCAAAGGCATAATTTCTTACATCAATTTATTTTGAACGCATAATACATGCTATATAATAGATTTAAGGTATCCGACTGCGTTCGGAACCAAGATTTTAAAAAAGCGCATAAATGGATAATTTTCATGATATTTAGTGTCACTTAGATTAGAATACATGTATAAAATGGTTCTAAGGACATTTTGACAAAAAAAAATTATTTCAATACAATATTTCGGCCAAAAATGAACTCAGAATAACCTTTTTTCAAAATGTTCTCCTTTTGTGAAAAATGCTTCTATTATAATAATATTTTGCCTGTATATAGCTCAGACCTCTGTACAGAGGCTTAACTATGATTTTTGAAAAATTCACGTTATTTTCAGAGTTACAACCCATTGAAATAATGATCGGCGTTTTTTTTCTTAAAAGTTCTCCCCTCTGTTGTCGTAAAACATGGATAAACCCATTTCTAAGTTATATATTTCAAAAATTCTAGTTGAGCCTCTGTACAGAGGTATGAGCTTTATACAGGTGAAATATTATAATAGAAGCATTTTTCACAAAAGGAGAATATTTTGAAAGTGGGTCATTCTATGTTCATTGTTTCTCAAAATATTGTTCTTAAACAATTTTTTATCGTAATACGATTCTTAAAAAAATTTATATACGTTTTCTAATCTAAGTGACACTAAATATCATAAATATTATCCATTTATACGCTTTTGTAAAATCACGGTTAAGAACGTAGTAAGATACCTTAAGAAATGTAACTTAAATTTAATGTTCTTATGTTTCACAGTAGGATATCGATTTCTATGATTTGTAAAGCCAAACTCTGAAAATTATGATTGAGGATTTGTTGTATTTCGTTTCCACAATTTTTTAAAATGTTTATTAAGAGTTTTAGGTTATTTTAGATATTTGTTTTAGATTTACGTCAAGAAGTATTTTCTTGTTTGAAAACTTTAAAAGTATAGATAAATCTTTTGGAACTTGTAACATAATGGGATTGGTGAAATCTTTAAGATGCAATTTTTTGCTGTATTATGATGATCATATACTATGCTAAAAACATCTATAAATGCTTGGATCTAAATATTTAAAGTAAAATAACTTTAAAATATTAGAATTTAAAATATATACATAAGAATTATAGCAATAATTTATTTATTTTCTTAAAACTGATTCGAAAAATGTTCCTTTAGATTTACATAAATATTTCAGGCATAACGGTTCTTGATTTTGAGATAAAAGTGTGAAAATACTAAAGGAGCATTTGAGTTAGTATAGATTTTCTTAATATTCTACTTCAGGGCTTCCAGAAATGTTCACCTTATTTGAAGTAAACCTGAATAAGTCAATAGTTTCGATCTGAATAGCTGTCGGGAAACAGACATGAAAGTCAATAAGGCGTGAATCCGACGAATTTGGTCAACACTTTGTTCCAATATTTATCGATACAAATTTCTCGTTGCATTAAAAATTAGCAGAAACTTAGTGTATCTATATGGAATGTTCTACGGATTTCAGAGTAAATTTCTAATACTTGTTCTCATCGTTTGTATTAATAATCAATTAGACTTTTTAAGAGATAAAATAAACTAATAAGATATTATAATACACACACACATGTATAATATATGTAATATAATAATGTAGTTTTAATATCTAGAATTCATTTAAATAAAGTTTTACAATGCTTACATTAAAAATTTTTAAAAAAAAATAAATGAATAAATGATTAACGAAAACTTATATAGAAGACGGGTTTCGCAATTCAGTGAAACATAAAATTTCTTAAGAATTTTGTATTAAGTCAGAGTAAGTATAAACAAGCATAGACATATATGTTAAAAATCTTTTAAAAGTAGATATATAAATAAAAAAAAAAAAACTTTAATGTACCTGCAGGAAAGTCAAGATTTAATAGACATCTAATTGCATTAAAATGTTATGACATAGAAAATAATGTAACATAATGTTATCATTAAAAATATTTAATATCTAGTTAATGTTCTGCCATTGTGTTCAGTAACCTAGTTAGGAGGCTTACAATAATAAAGAAAAAATTAGTCTTTAACTTTACTATTTCAAAGAAGACATATTTATTAATGACAGACGCTAATGAATTTTCCGCTTGATCTCGTCAAAATATCAGTATTGAAGAATATTCTAACTGTTTGTAAAAATTCATAAAATGTGCTAGCGGAGCGGTTTTATAAAATCATGCAGAAATTAGTCTTGCAAATCCCATTTATATTCCATCAACTTGGAGTAAGATAGCAGATATAATTTAGAGCTGCATCATGGCAGTATTTACTACTTTCGATTTTTCAATGTCAAGCCAGATAAAGTAGACAATGTAGGTGTTGTAACTGTTTATGTAACGTTCGCCTGTGTGAGCTGATATATAAACTCTCTTAACAGATTATTTATAATACAGTTAAACCTATTTGAATGCGGGGGATAGGGACCGGGAAAAAAGTGATTTTTGAAATTATTTCCTTTGGGGGGTTAAAAAAAGGATGGAGTAAATTTTTTTAATGCGGGGCGACCCGTCACGGATGTGACGACACCGTCACGGATGCGAAAACCTTTTTCAAAAATATACAGAACGGGGGAAATCTTCCCCGGGTTGAAATTTTCCCGAAAAATATTTTTAACTTTTCCCGAAGAAGGGGGCACCGGGTTTTGAACCGGGGACCTCTCGATCTGCAGTCGAATCTTACCACTGACATACCCCGCATCAGTGAACCTTTGCTTTGCATATCGTAGGAACGGATACGAAAATACTTTGTCTAGAAATATGTAGAACGGGACAGATCATTCCCGCTTTCAAATTCCTCCCCATATTATTGGTCTTATTGTTCCTGAGCGGGGGTGTTTAAATTTATTTAAATCGTGATTATCTCAGGTTTGGCTGGTCCGATTGACTGAAGGTTAGTATCGTTTAACTCTGCTCGTGACCGCCTTTCGTCCTTGGCTCAGCTTGCCCTGCTAAAGATTTTTAGAAAGATTTTAATCTTGTTACGGCAAAGAAGTATAACTTCTTACGTGCGTACATAAGTACACACACACTTTTTCCCTTCTAATAATGTCAATATATCACAGTTTAAAACATCGTATAAAAATAGTTTTGACTATATCCAGATTCGCATTTTGAAAAACTCTCAGTTATGAAAAACATTTCTATGTCCACTTCGTGTAATATTTCTGAACAGGTATTGTGTACAGGTTGTTGCCGAAGTCGACGAAAATTTAGAGGGGTGATAGTAGGAAGCAGGGGAACGACTAATCAACATAGAACATGGGGTGGCAAACCAAGTTTAGTATCTGAAAACCACAATGATAGTATCCATTGGATGGAGAAAGAGTTTGACGAGGGGAATGGACAAACGAATGCGGGAATTTACAGGGCAGTAGCAGGGGTGAAGAAACCTATACGTATGCAAATTCTCACTTCTCCAGGAATTGCTGCAGGAAATACCGGTTACTGCGCACCAGAACGTGTGGTGCACTAGCACATTTTCCAACTGCGATGCGGAACCAACTCCATGCTACATATCTCAGGAAGTGGACTGGACGCTGCAGACAGGTTGCTTGGCCTTCCACACTCCCCGGACCTCAATCCTTTGGATTTCTTGTTTGAGGCCAACTGAGATCGTTTATGTGTGAGACGCCGTTGGTTACAGTGTAGAATTTCTCTACATGGATCATCGCCACTTCAGCTGACATTGACCAGCACACCGTACCTGTTGAATTCCGGTCCGTCGGTGACAATCTTTGTCCGTCGGTGTCGGCTGTGATATGCCTTACGAGGTCGCAATTTCAAACAATTCCTGTGACAATTACTTGTTGCATTTCTGACATCGAATTGGGATGCGTTGTTTTATTGTAGACATACTTTATGTCTAATAAATATATTTCTTACCACTTATTGCTTCTTTTTATTTCACTCGATATATACATAACTGTTTTTGTGGATTACTCAGACTAAACATGGTTTCCAACCCTCATGTTCTATAGGGATTTGTTGTCCCCATGCCGCTCACTCTCACCACTCTGAATTTGTTGGTCGAATTCGGCAACACCCTGCGTATATTTTCGATAGAGTTTAGCTTCCTTTTATAAAGCACAGCACATTATCTAAACCTGACATGGAGTTTATAAATACATGAATTTCTTCATTATCTCATCATGAAAACTCTTACTTGGTGTACAATCTCTGACAATCTTTATAATCTAAATATTTAAAACTAGCAAAAACATATTAAAATTATTGTTGATAATGTACGGATAATTATTAGAAAAATTCACAATACTGTGTTCTAACTTTCATTAATTAGCCATGGTCAGCTTCAAGCACATAACTGCTGTGAAGACCAAACGAGTAGGTGCATGAAAAATGCAATTGGTCCTTACTGTTGGTCATGCTTCAGATGTTATTTTCGGCACCTGGCCATTATTCAAAACTATAAAGTATATTGTCAAAAGCTCTATTGTTGCTCTAGTGTGGCATTAATTAAAAAACTTATTATTAAAAGTTCATGTTTGGGGAATATATACTTAAAAAAATGAGGTTTTCAAGTATAACTTCTTAAAATTGTCGAAAGCTTTGATTTTATTTATGGTAATTCAAATATGCATTTCTGTGAATAACCTTATCATAAAACATGTCAGCTGAGGTGAATAACACAAAATTACAAGTAATCGTAAATTAGATAAGAAGTTTAACTTCAATGAAAATAAAAATTTAAATGATTAAACTATTTATTTTTAACAAAAGAAGAAATCTACATTTTATGGAAATTAATAATACATTTTGTGCTTATACTTTTTAACCCCTTCCAGGATCATTTTATTTCTGAATTACACATAAAAAAGGTCAGTTTTTTATGCATATTTTCAAACATACATTTTTTAAACCTAATAACACCATTCACAAACTAAATTTCCTAAAAATTAATGCAAAAAAATCTATCTAAATAAATGACTTATATATACTTGTAAAATTAGCTTTTTGTAAGGCAGAAATCACGAGACTTGGAGTTAGTTCACACTAACTATAAATATGAAGCTTAGAATACCCAGCTTTTACCTTGAATTGCGAATTTTAGTTACATCTTTTACATTTACATGAATGGTTATGAAATTATTAATCAAAATTTGATTGTATATCATGAATTCGAAAACATTGTACTGAACATAACCCATCTTTACAATATGGACAGTAGAATCTTCTTGCCTTCTTACTTTTACTGTCTTTCTTTGAGCAGCAGTTACCATTCTTTCGTGTTGGATTAGTTTTCTTCTCTGTTGGGGGAATGTAGTCAATAAAGTGTCTTTCAGACAAGCGTGAAAAGGAAGGGGATGTTCAACGGAAGGACGTCTTTTCTGCAGAAATTTTCCCCGATTGGTATTTTTCAATTATTTGAAACCATAAAAAGCCCACGTGAAATAATTCAACCGAGCGCATAGTGCCCGAGTTACACTCGGGATGGGCCAGGATGTTACGTTTCGCTCCCTAGCTCAACTCGGGAAAAGCCGGGAAGGGGTTAACCAAAATTTCAAAAGAATGTCTGAGTAATTACCGTTCCAGCACTTGATCTTCTTAAGACTACTTATTATTACTAAGCCTGGGTAGCTTAGTGGCCATGATCACGGACTCGAGGTCATGGGTTAGATTCCCAGTACTACAGAAGACCTAAGGTGTGGAGGAGCAGATAAACAGTAAATCAAACGAGGTCTTAAAGTTTTCCTTTTGGTGCAGCGTGGAAGTTTGGAGAGGTGTAACCAACTCATGTGTCATCCTCCTCCCCTGACAATGATTCAAAATTGCGAGGTCCATCGCCAGTAGATCTGGTGTTGCTTTATAGAGCTACGTTCATAAATACTCATTTGAGCTATTGTTATAATGAATGCTTATGAGTATAATCATTACTAATTTCTGCATTTAATTTTGCTGTGTTCAAAATTGCACCTGTTTATTGCTTGTAATATGGTCGCACGAAACTTTAAATATTCTTAAGTAAACTTCCTTTTAAAAACCTAAGTGCATTGTGTTTGAAAACGGTTTTTATTCCAAATGTAATGTCTTTAAAATAAATTCTAAAGTTTTTCAATAAATATATCTTAGTCTAAAGAACATAAAAGTGATTTTCGAAAAAAAAACTAATGAGAAATATTTTTTTAAAAAGTAATTCCGTTCCAAGGATAGCCTTAGAATAACACATACTACAGATCATTTGATTTCTTAAATTCATTAAAATATTTTAATGTGATTCAAACGAAGAGGAACTACTCTCTTTCAATAATTTTTTATTCAATTTACCGTGAAAATACTTTTTTGATATTAATGATGCGTAGGATAAATGGATTCGATTCAATTCTTGAATGAATGAGTCCCTTTAATAAATGAACTATCCATGTTTCTCTGAAATTAATTTAAGATTATTTTGGTACCTGATCGATTTTGTTTGTCATTTATCTTTTTGGATTTATTGATTGCTATAAAGCAAATGAATTGTAGTAAGAAATAATTAAATAATACATGGTTTAAATTTTTGCTATTAATCCTAATATATCAGGCTAGAAAAAGTTAAATTTATCCAGTGATGCTTTTTTCGTTAAAAAAATTATATAATATTTTGATGTTAAAATTGTAAATGCAAATGTTCTGTTTAACACCTCATTCAATGATTCGTATTAAGAACATTTTATAAATTTTTTTATCAAATAACTTTTTAATTAAATTGTGTGATTCTTAAATATGATGCAACTATTTTATTTTTATGTGTGTGAATCAAATTTTATACTTTTGAACCAGTACGTATTACCTTGGTGAATTTGAGTGTATTCATTAATACAAATATCCAAAAATCTGTTTCAACAGAAAACAGGGGGGAAAACATTGTAAAATATAAGCAATGTTATTACAATATATACATTGATAGTAACATATTTCATATCATTTTTAATTTAAATATACTAAACAATGCAATTTTTTATGCAACTAAAGAAATTTGTACATGAAATGTTCCAGTAAAATCCAGTGCCTGTAGTATCTCATTTCTAATAAAGGGAGCATAACAAAGAAATTTTTTCCAACCATGAATAAAAGACTGTCATGCCATCATTTTTAGACTAACTACAAGATAACCCAATTTTTCACTGGTCATGGTAATTTCAAAAGCTACTTCAACAAATTTAATTTAGTTCCGACATCTTCCTGTGATTGTAATTTGGGCGGGGGAAAATGTGAACATGTGCCCCATCTGTTTTCCCAAATTTTTGCCAGAAAAAAAAAGATCTTAAGACGGGTTTTTCAAGGACTTAAATAAATTGGCCCCCTTTTTCCCCCTTCTTTCACCAGAAATGTTTCAAAAATTTTTTAATTTTTTGTTGTAAATATTTTTATTCTTAACCTCAATATTTTTTATTTTATTTTTGTTTCCCGAATGTGTTTTTATTACTTACTTCTGTAACCCCCGTGTGATACTTTGTGGTGCCGGGATTTTTATATTTTTTCAAAAAAAAAAATTGCCAGTAGAGTCTAATTTTGTAAAAGGGAAACTGATTTAAAACAAATGAAAAAAGGGCTTGAGACTGATGTGCATAAAAATATTTTTTGGTTTCCTCTCGTGATGTGCAGTAAACGTGTTTGTATAAAAAAGAAAGAAAGAAACAGAAAACATCATTTAATCGTGAAAAAAAGTCGCGACGGCTATAATGTGGGGCAGGGGTG